TGTTGCTATCACTGGCGTGAAGCCGTGCTAACTGATGCGCACACATACATTTATGATTTCAGAGATGTCGAAGCCTTTGACACACATTTGCATATGCGTGTGCATGCGTGCGAATGATTTTAGTAGGGAGCGGTAGTGCAATGGTGAGCGCGCTGTGCGATGAACCTGGCGACCCAATTTTTATCCCCGTGCACGGCCAACATCAGTGAAGATTATCTGAATCGGTCCTGGGCCTCCCCTAGGTCAACTCAGCCTCAAATGAGTACCTGGTGCGGTGTGTAAAATCATCGCCACTGGGGAGACAAAGGCGGCCTGGCGTGGTGTTGGCCACCCATCCCTTCGTGTGCTGTAGCGGCCTTCATAGGTGCTCACGAACAGCACTTAACCCCAACAGTCTGTTAAGGCTATACAGGGGATCTTTGTATTATTTTGAGACTGAACTGAGGCCATCAACCAGCCACATGCCGGCTTAAGACCTCAATATAATCACAATTGGCTGGAGACTGGAGTACAAAACAGGAATTCTTAACCATGCCAGCTCAGTGAACTGACGAGGAATAAGGCACTTTTCTATAATGAAGGGCGACATCCCAACCGTGTGTGGCCCGAGATGAAAGTTGTTCACCACCAGCTGGTATAAGTGGGTAGAAATTACAGCCTTTGCCCAGGCCAACGTGACAATAGCTGAAATCTCAGCGTGGATAATATGGGCATAATGCACGCTCACCGTGGATAGGATCCTGCCCATGTGGACTTGTAATCCAGAGGCACTGGTTTGAGTCATCCCCGGAAAGTTGGAACAACGGTGCAAGCTTCTGAGATCCCTCCACCTCTATCCAGCCAGATGTATAAATGGGTAACACCACAGTTGGTTAATCGGTGGTGGGGTAAACTGTGGGTGCTGCCACCTCTCTCAACATGTCTGACCAGCATGGAAGAGAGTGGCTCTCTGAGAGCCCCCTCTGTTGGAGGCCTTTCCGCCAGCATTTGTATAGCCGAGACATTGCAGGGCTGCGTCTTTATCTTTTATATTTGTCGCACAGGCTGAGCAGAATAAAGGAGAGCGTGGTGACCTGATAGCGAAAAAAGAAGCGTGCTCTCTCTGAGCATCCGACTCCAAAGGGAAGGAATCTCGCTAAGGATCATTTGGTGACGAAGTTTGTGGAGGTGCAGATGAGCAAAGTCATTAGGGCATGGTATTGATGTGATAGAATAATAATCATCTCCAGCACTCTGTCAATACACCGCAGAATGGGGGAATCCCACGTCGTGTTAGTCACGGAGAGTTGTTTGGCCATACTTTACCATGCCGGTCACAGTGGGTTGGTGGAGGTAGAGGGGTCAGGCCCGGCTTGATGCTCGCCGTGACAGGGAATCGAAGCGTGGGTCGCCGGTTCAGAGCGCAGTGCGCTATAACCACTGTGCTACTGCTCCCCATGATTTGACGCATTATTCATTCCTCTAATTGTTCTCTCGTATTGTTTCCCGATTGTTTATGGGAAATCGGTAGCAATGCATAAACAGAGACAATGACATGACGTGGCAGTCAGTCAGCAGTAGATAGAGGATGATGATTATTAAACGGTGATGCGCAATGAGTAATTAAACACCTGATGATGACAACACAAGAATGGTCACGCTTATGATGTCATTCTACCATCTGTTACAATAATGGCTTTGAAGATCATTCATGACGGTAATGGTGATAATGATGACGAGTTTGATCACATCCGGTGATCTGACGCTGATGTAATAACTGAATTATGATTTCACGTTGATGATGATGATGGCTTGGATGATTATGACGATAAGGATATTGATTATAATGCGTTTTACAATGATCATGAAGTGGAGGATTTTATGACTACGATGATTGATGGCTTTAGTGGGGATCAAGAACCGATTCCTTGTTGTCCCCATGCTTCCCGTCACATCTGCATCATCTCTCATTCTGTGTGGCTTATTTAGTGTTGTCGTCCTCTTTGGTATCATTTATGGCGAGCATGACACTCAAATCAACGCATTCTTATTACGAATATGAGCCAAGAATGTGTGTCCCGCGCGTGACGTCACTCCACATGAGGCCCCCCGCGTGACGTCACTCCACATGAGGCCCACCCCTCGCGTGACGTCACTGCAAAAAAGCCCCCCCCCTTCATTAATATTCATGCCCGCGTGGAAATTTACACGAACGCACAAGAAGGTCGCGCACTCTACATGCCGCACTCTCTCCCCTCCTTAATAATCATGAGCGGGTGACGTCACTCCACATACCGCATCCCTCCACAATTCCCATTAACGAGTGACGTCACTCCACATGGGGTAACGCCCCCCCCCCACCTCATTAATAATCACAAGCTGAACAATTTTTCTATTGAATATTTCATATTTACTGCAATATATGGATGGGCAAAACATTTAGTAAGTCATAAGAGCCATGTGTTCTTCTCTCTGCCAACTCCTGTCCCTTTCTCTCTGTCTCTCTCTCTCACTCGTGCCCACTTGGTCTCTGCTGCTTGGGTCACAGGAGGCGATCGTCACGGTCACGTGAGCGCGCGCGCGACCGTCATTCGGAGGATGACGCTCCCGTCATTCGGAGGATGACGCTCCCGTCATTCGGAGGATGACGCTCCCGTCATTCGGAGGATGACGCTCCCCTCATTCGGAGGATGACGCTCCCGTCATTCGGAGGATGACGCTCCCGTCATTCGGAGGATGACGCTCCCGTCATTCGGAGGATGACGCTCCCGTCATTCGGAGGATGACGCTCACACGGTCGTTGGCATCTTCGCGTCGTTTTGTGGAACGCAAAAACGAGTCTGATGATGATCATGCCGACGATGTGTGGTAGACGCAGACGAACGCGACAACAATTTGACACGCAGGCTTTCGCGACCTATGTTATTTTCAGATTAACATATAAGACCCCAAAACAGGAAGACCTCATCACAATTCTGGCAAATCGCCTGATGAAGCTGGTTGTAACCACCAGCGGAAAGTCACGGTTACTCGAATTGTAAATATTGCGGGTTTACTCTCCAACACACAACCCGGTGTGCTGAACTAGGAGAGTAACTGGCACGTTTTGTTCACATGACAAACCTTATTAAGTGTCTGCGCCGTGTGATGGTGGGTTAACGACACTTTCTCTTTACATCGACGCCATCTAACCTACCAATAATGCCGTGACAATTGACGCAACCAAATCCTCTCCCAGCAACAATTCCCCCCTTTTTTTGCCGATCTCGGCTCCACCTTGGCAAGTGGCGTCGCTGCACGGGGGGGACTTCGAGGGCTCCTCCAGAGGAGCGCGGAACGACACCCGGGCTCGCTGCGTTCGCTGGACGTCGTCGCGACAACCGTGGGCCGCCGCCGCGATTAAATCCGGAGCGGGTTTGCGACGGAACAACCACCAGAATGTGTGGCGAGCATCAGACTCAGGCCAAATGGACCATTCTCCAAATGGGGAATATGCGGTGGGGGGGAGGGGTGGTCGCAGTGGGGGGGGGGGGGGGGGGGCGAGCCAAACGCCAGCTGCACGTGGCTTTTTTGTTGTTGTTAACGGGATCGCTCCGTACGAGAGTATTCATTAAAACGTCCGAGGAGTCGGTGCAAATGAGCCTGCGTGTGGATTAGCATAGGGGAATGGTTATGTTGTTGTGTGTGCGTGCACGACAAAACTGTGCGGAGCAGTGGTGCGATGGTTCGTGTGCTGCTGCTGCTGCTGCTATGAAGCTGCTCATCCAGGTACAATTCCTGGAAGCGTTGTTAACTGCAGGGTTGTTGCTCTTTAGTCTTTCAATGGCTTCCAACGTAGGCGGAAAGCGTTTGTGCATGAGCTATTTCCATCTGTCCTTACATAACGCGGATCACTTTAATTCTCGTGAAGTAAATCTCGTACGAACGAAACTTGGGGAAACTGGCCACATTCATCGAAGGGTTTTGCTCAAACTTTGCAAACTTAACCCACCAATAAAAAAGAACAACAGTGTTGGCTGCTATACGTTTCCACGTGACGATAAACCACTTCGTAGAGCTACCATTCGCGGCCAGGTCGCTTCTGAAAAAGAGCCGCATAGCGCAGTGGGCCTTACCTGGCAAACTAAAATAGTTAATCGTAGTCGTTCAGTGACTGTGTGTGTGAGAGGTTGGCTGGGAATTATTTTCCGCTACTCTCCTTCGTTGAACTGCGTGAAGGCCCATTGTGAGTCATTATGTATGGACCTTATTACATGTGACCGTGTGGGAGAGCTCATTGAAAGTCATTTATTGATGTGTTTAGCCATGTGAGAGCTTGTTGAGTGATTAACCCCCAAATTGTTAGGGTTCTTTTTTCTTTATTTCAAGCTTGTGGGACAATTGGTAACGTGACTGGAAGGTGTTACCTACACCTCTTGGCCTCCCCTAGGTCAGCTCAGCCTTAACGTTAACACCTCGTGCAATGTGTTACTGATCGCGGTGGAGAGAGAAAGGTGGCCAGGCCTGGAGCTGGCAACAGCTTAACTTTCATGTTCATAGTTTAAGGTTTAGTTCAGGGGTTCTTAATCTGGGCTGCACGCTGCATCCCCAGGGGGTGCGAGATGCCCTTTCTGGGGGTGCGAGACATGGCTAGATTTCTTTCGAAGGTGAATCATCGTCAACACAAACTAAGCACGGACCCGTAAGTGCAACTACTTTGTTTCATCAAACCTCTATGCATTTATTAACATTAGCAACATTTGTTGTTACGATTGAGAACCAAAGGGTTGCTTGCTGCAGTAAAGGTTTAGAACCACCGGTTAAGTTTCGTGTACCGTGCCAGCCTAACAGAGCTTGCAGATACAATACAATCTGTGCGACTGAATTGGGGATCATTTATCTGTTTGGGCCCACCAAATCTCCTTTGCCATGAGAATGCGTAATAACATTTGCGACATCGACAAACCGGGGTTAATTCAACAGACACGGGAGTGAACTGGTGTGGTGGCAGGAAGTCATCGAAGCAGGTGGTTCGCACTCACCACTGCGGGCGACTGGTGGACTTGACAACAGGCGTCATCCCGTCTCTGTACAGGCTCCTGGTCTTGCTGAAGTTCACGAGGTTGAAAATCGCGCGCTGCGCTCACAACAGCATTCAAGTGGGCGGGGGGGGGGGCACGAAACGTCAGTTAAGTACCGCCATCAAGTTCCATTCGCAAGATGAACATTTCTTCGGTGAACACGTCCGTCGCAATCAAAAGTGTCTCCATGCCCAAACGAGCGATGGCATTGGCTCACAGCAGCATCAATCACCGTCACCACTACCAGAAGCACCAAGGCCTGCACGTTGACAGCCCTTGGGCCAGTGGTGGAAATTCCACGTTTCTATGGCTTTGACAGTTGATGTTCACTGCACTGTTTCGTCCGTTGTATGTATGTTGAACCTCTTTCGCAACGCACGTAGCCAACCCTCGCTAAGCGGAGGTGCGCGGCAAGGACGACAAACGAAACACAAAAATAGCTCTACAGAAATGAGTTGTCAATCTAGACGATTTAATAGTGGACAGCTCCAGTGGTTTCCCAATATCGGAAGAGCGTTCAAGACGGCCAAGAAAGCGCATCTGAAAGCGCCGCGCGTGACCACGTGTGCAGGGCGTGTCACTCCTGCATCTGGTAAGATAAAAAAAAATACATATAATTGTTTTATTTGTATAGTTTTCAATTATTTGTTTACCTTTCCTATACTTTGCACTCCTATCGTGTTTTTTCGTGTATTTGTTGTTGACAGGTTCTGACCCTGTGCCCCTACTTGACATCTGAGCTTTATAGCTCATCGGATTCCTCCAGTCTAAATACAGTGAGGGAAAAAATATTTGATCCCCTGCTGATTTTGTACGTTTGCCCACTGACAAAGAAATGATAAGTCTATAATTTTAATGGCAGGTTTATTTGAACAGTGAGAGACAGAATAACGACAAAATATCCAGAAAAACGCATGTCAAAAATGTTATAAATTGATTTGTATTTTAATGAGGGAAATAAGTATTTGACACCCTCTCAATCAGAAAGATTTCTGGCTCCCAGGTGTCTTTTATACAGGTAACGAGCTGAGATTAGGAGCACACTCTTAAAGGGAGTGCTCTTAATCTCAGCTTGTTACCTGTATATTAGACACCTGTCCACAGAAGCGATCAATCAATCAGATTCCAACCTCTCCACCATGGCCAAGACCAAAGAGCTCTCCAAGGATGTCAGGGACAAGATTGTAGACCTACACAAGGCTGGAATGGGCTACAAGACCATTGCCAAGCAGCTTGGTGAGAAGGTGACAACAGTTGGTTCGATTTTTCGCAAATGGAAGAAACACAAAATAACTGTCAATCTCCCTCGGCCTGGGGCTCCATGCAAGATCTCACCTCGTGGAGTTGCAATGATCATGAGAACGGCAAGGAATCAGCCCAGAACTACACGGGTGGATCTTGTCAATGATCTCAAGGCAGCTGGGACCATAGTCACCAAGAAAACAATTGGTAACACACTACACCGTGAAGGACTGAAATCCTGCAGCGCCCGCAAGGTCCCCCTGCTCAAGAAAGCACATATACATGCCCGTCTGAAGTTTAGCCAATGAACATCTGAATGATTCAGAGAACAACTGGGTGAAAGTGTTGTGGTCAGATGAGACCAAAATGGAGCTCTTTGGCATCAACTCAACTCGCCGTGTTTGGAGGAGGAGGAATGCTGCCTATGACCCCAAGAACACCATCCCCACCATCAAAGATGGAGGTGGAAACATTATGCTTTGGGGGTGGTTTTCTGCTAAGGGGACAGGACAACTTCACCGCATCAAAGGGACGATGGACGGGGCCATGTACCGTCAAATCTTGGGTGAGAACCTCCTTCCCTCGGCCAGGGCATTGAAGATGGGTCGTGGATGGGTATTCCAGCATGACAATGACCCAAAACACACGGCCAAGGTAACAAAGGAGTGGCTCAAGAAGAAGCACATTAAGGTCCTGGAGTGGCCTAGCCACTCTCCAGACCTCAATCCCATAGAAAATCTGTGGAGGAACTGAAGGTTCGAGTTGCCAAACGTCAGCCTCGAAACATCCATGACTTGGAGAAGATCTGCAAAGAGGAGTGGGACAAAATCCCTCCTGAGATGTGTGCAAACCTGGTGGCCAACTACAAGAAACGTCTGACCTCTGTGATTGCCAACAAGGGTTTTGCCACCAAGTACTAAGTCATGTTTTACAGAGGGGTCAAATACTTATTTCCCTCATTAAAATGCCAATCAATTTATAACATTTTTGACATGCGTTTTTCTGGATTTTGTTGTTGTTATTCTCTCTCTCACTGTTCAAATAAACCTACCATTAAAATTATAGACTAATTATTTCTTTGTCAGTGGGAAAACGTTCAAAATCAGCAGGGGATCAAATACTTTTTTCCCTCACTGCAAACATTCTGAATCTGAGCTGCACACACGTGACACACCAGTCACTCTTCGGCATCGTCTACGCACGCCGTTAGCGGGACGACTGCCCCTTCGATCTTGTTCGCCCTGTCGTCTTTGTCTCACCGGCGCTGATGGCGACTCTCGGGACTGGGGCCCAGAGGAGGCCCAGAACAGATGTTTGATGTAGCTCGCCACGGATGTTAGTCGTGGCCAAGAATTGGAACTCAGAAGGCCGGGAGCACAGGGCAGTGTGCTAACCACTACATCGCCACTTGCAACAGCGCACACAATAACAAAAATCGCCATTCGCCACTAAGTGGCGGTGACGTCACCCCGACACTTGTGCCACACATGTGCACCTTGAGGCCACGTGAAGTGTCGAACGCCCGCTGGCAGGAGGTCACGGGGCAGACCCTGGTGTCACGGGTCGACTGACTGAGATGACTGGCTGATGCACCACCTGTGCCCCTTACTGTGCCAACCTGCTGTGCTTTAGCCACCCGGCGCTCCGCTCGTTGTTGTGAGCGTTGCTCTTCTGCCCTCCGTTGTTGTTGGAGGGCGACTGCCTCCAACTGCCCAGTAGCGTCCTTCACGAGCCTCCTCCACAGAGGCCGATCTTGACACCGCTGGTACCAGTCATCGGCTAGTCCACCCAGCTCCACGTCCTCCTGTACCACATCACTCCATCTCTTCTTTAGCCCGTGCCGCGCCCGTTTAGCCCCCTCGATCCGGCCGAACAAAAACTGTTTAGGCATGCGGTGGCTGGGCATGCGGGCTACATGACCCAGCCAATGCAGCCTTGCCTGCCTGAGGAGCTCACCAATGGGACCGTGCCCAGATCTTTCAAGGATTTGTGAGCTCCTCACACAATCTAGCCTGGTTAAACCCAGGACGGATCGTAGGCAGGCCAGCCTAAATGTTTCTAGCCGGCGAAGATGTTCCATTAGGGGGGTCCACGTTTCGCAAGCGTAGAGAAGGGAGGGAATGACCGTGGCCGAGAAGACCCGAAGCGCACACAACACACACAAACACACACACAAACACACACACAACACACACAACACACACAACACACACACAACAAACACCCACAACAGATACACCCTTCATAGACCGTTGAGGCGTGCATGGTCGGCAAGCCCGACTGTGGCCAGCACCAATGGAGAGTGAAACCTGAACAGGTCCCGGGGCCTCCTCAAGCTCGACTTAGTGTCACATCGACACCGGCTGTGGGGTGTGAACCACTGCACTGGGGAGACAAAGGCAACCGGGTGGGGTACAGCTCACGCAACGCCCTCGTGTGCAGTCCCAGCCCTCATAAGTGTCCACACCACACACGCACATACACACATACATACACACATACATACATACACACATACATACAAATACATACATACATATACACATACATATACACATACATACACACATACATACACACATACACACATACATACACATACATACACACATACATACACACATACACAACAACAACCGCCATTCGCCACTAAGTGGCGGTGACGTCACCACGATGCTTGTGCCAGGCTATGCGCACCCTGAGGCCACGTGAAGTGTCGAACGCCCGCTGGCAGGAGGTCACGGGGCAGACCCAGGTGCCACAGGTCGACTGACTGAGATGACTGGCTGATGCACCACCTGTGCCCCCTACTGTGGCAACCTGCTGTGCTTTAGCCACCCGGCGCTACGCTCGTTGTTGTGAGCGTCGCTCCTCCGCTCTCCGTTGTTGTTGGAGGGCGACTGCCTCCAACTGCCCAGTAGCGTCCTTCACGAGCCTCCTCCACAGAGGCCGATCTTGACACCGCTGGTACCAGTCATCGGCAAGTCCACTCAGCTCCACGTCCTCCTGTACCACATCACTCCATCTCTTCTCTAGCCCGTGCCTCGCCCGTTTAGCCCCCTCAATCCGGCCGAACAAAAGCTGTTTCGGCATGCGGTGGCTGGGCATGCGGGCTACATGACCCAGCCATCGCAGCCTTGCCCACCGGAGGAGCTCACCGATGGGACCCTGCCCAGATCTTTCAAAGATTTGTGACCTCCTCACACAATCCAGTCTGGTTAAACCCAGGATCGATCGTAGGTAGGCCAGCCTAAATGTTTGTAACCGGCGAAGATGTTCCATTAGGGGGGTCCACGTTTCGCAAGCGTACACAACAAAGATCAAAGATCCCCCATGTAGCCTTAACAGACTGTAGGGGCAAGTGCTGTTAGCGAGCACCTATGAAGCCCGGAACGGTACACGAGGGGGTGGGTGGCCAGCACCACGCCCGACCGCCTTTGTCTCCATAGTGGCAATGTTTACACACCGCACCAGGTACTCATTTGAGGCTGAGTCGACCTAGGGGAGGCCCGGGACCGGTTCAGATAATCGTCACTGGTGAACTCTGTTCGCCAGGTTCGTCGCGCAGGGCGCTAACCGCTACACTACCGCTGCCCACACTATCCATGCATACAAACAACCACGTGCACCCCCACACGACATACACGCATTAAGATTCAGCAGTGGATTCAGGGGAGCTGACCGTAACGATCGCGAGCTCATTAATATATACGTTACGGTATATCAAGCGAATGGTGGATAACGCATCTGCTGCTGGCGAGCGAACGAGCGAGGGATCGAGCGGAGGGGCTCCCCAAGTTTCCCCGTAGCGACT